CGTTTAGGGGATTTTCCAGCTGTTTTTTTTTTTTTGGGTCTTCCGGGGCCGCGTCGGGGCGCTGTTCCGGAATCCTCCACGTGGACCTTCCGCTTCCTGCCTGCTCTGCTCTTCCACAGGTTGTCATGCTGCACAGCCTCGTTCTGTGCAGGGAACGGGGGTGTGCCCATTTCCTCTGCAGCCTGCTGCTGCTCCGGGCGGTCCTCCAGGTGGTCACTCATTGCGGCCTGCTCGCTGGTTTTTTGTTCCTCCTCGCCCGTTTCCTGGTCCTGATGTGGGCGGGGCCTGCGCACGTACACCAAACCCCGCACTGGCTGCGCTTTCCCTGCCTCCGAAGCCTCCTCCTGCTGTTGCCGGGTCCTCTCCATCGCTGGCTCAGTAACCCCCATCCCCTGCTGCGCTCGTGATTCGTCCGCCGGTTGTCCTTCCTCCCCACGCTGTTGTGCCACATTCTCTTCTGTGTGCGTTGCAATGTTCTCCCCGTCCTCCATGTCCACCTCGTTCGCCGGGTCATCGGTGTGATTGTTTTGTTGCGCAGTGTTTCTCTCCCTCTCCTTGCGAGTAGGGAGTGCAGCACGACGGGCCTCCTCTGCACGCATTCGCTGCTCCACAAGTTCAGCATCCCGGTCTGCCATTGCCTTCGCATGTGCGGCCTCCTCCTCGTCCGGACCGTCGTGGGGTTGCAACAGAAACTCGACATCGGTGTCCACCCTATCGACAACAGGCATCGACTCCACCTCAAACTCTCTCTCGCGTTGCCGCGTTCTCCTGCCGACGTATGTGGTCGCCGGGACAGTTGGAGCCTCATGAAGCTCGAAGTCAGAGTCCCCTCCCTCCTCCTCGCTGCAGTCCTCCGATGAGGACTCGTTCCAACACTTGCCCTTCCACACGAGGTCCTCAAGGTCGCTGCTGCCACTGGAGTCAGAGTCTGATTGAAAAAGGTCCTTGGGAATTCTCCCTCTTGGAGCCTTCGCCATATTCCTTTGCCTCCTCTTCTCCTCTTCTTTCTCTGCGGCATCCTCAACAGTCGCCGGCAACAGGGATCCATCATTCTTCTTTGGCTCCATCAACGGCTCAAAGAAGGAACCCCACACATCAACATACCCGCTGTCTTTGTGGCTTCGAGCACACAGCAACTGCATGTTCCAATGAATGTAGACTAACTTCTCGAGGGACTCCGGGGACAGGCTGTTCCGTCTCTTGGAGTGGACTAAGTCCAAGGACGCCCAGTTGCGCTCGGCAGGGGTGGCAGTGCTCCACATGCCCATGACCTTCACTGCAATTTTCTGAAGGTCTGGACCGTCCCTGCCGTGTGCTGCCCACCAGTCCGTCGGGGCCAACCTTGAAGCATCGTCCTTCGCAACCCTTTTCCACATGTGCTCGTCCTTGCGCTTCTTGGGGGCTTTCCCGGGCTCCAAGTTAGTGGGCGCTTGCCTCGCGGGCTCCTTGTGGAACTCCTTCAGATCCGCCCAGATGTCTGAATGTGCCTTGCTGTTCCACTTGCCCCCGATCTGCCTCAACAAAAAGCTCATTGCATTCTGCACCAGCGCACTGTCCTGATCGAAGAGCCAATGTGGATTTCTCCGTTGGAGGTCGAGAAGGAATGCAGCTGCGTGGACTGGCTGCCTCATCATCTGCATGCGGTCCCGCACCTTCTCGATCACATCATCCCGCTCTTTCTTTGTGAGCACAATATTTGTCAGCCTCCTAGCGATGAGCTCGTCGTACTCCACAAGATTTGTTGGAGAGGTGCCTTACGCGTCCATCCTCTTCAGCAACTGGTACACAGGCTTCATGATGGAGACAATCTTCTTCACCTTTGGCCACCAAGACTCAGACCTGACAGTGTAGTAGACAAGGTCTGCCTTTTTGCGCAACTTTTCCCCTGACCATCTCAAGGATCTCCACTTTGCAGCCTCTYTCCCGTCGACCATCTCTGTCAAGACATCCTCTCTGTCCTCCAAGCGTTGCAGCATCATGTACACGGATCCAAAGCGGACCTCAGTGGGACGAAGCAGGGACTTCGTGTCATCAATGGACATCATCATTCCGTTGGTAGCATGATGATTCCTGATGAACTTCACGATCGTGTTCGCAGTCTTCACGGTGCCCTTGATCCACGACAGGTTGGCCAAGTCCTTCAGCAGGAGACTGCAACAGTGTGCCCCGCAAGGAACCCAAGGAATCCTGGCCACATCCTTGTGCTTGCGTCTTTCCAGGATCTGGGCCGCCTTCTTGTTCACCTCCGCGTTGTCGGTGCAGATGGCGTTGATGCGCTCCAAGCCTATCTCCCTCATCACCTGCTCCCACAACCTCGCCAATGCTGCTGCATTCTTCTTCCTCCCCGTCATGGTCACTATCGCCACAAGGACCGCCCCCTGCTCACCGGCCGCCAAGAAGTTCATCACTGGCCGATTCCTGCGGCCGGTTGAGCCGTCAGTGATGAAAGTGCATCCGGACGTGTCCCAACATGTTGTCAACGAAAGCACCTCTTTCTTGATCTTCAGATAGATGACATCCACCATGACAGTCCTCATGTGATTGAACGACGGGAGCTTCACCTTCGGCCTCACGCTCGCCACCTCCAAGTACACAGCATGTAACGCCTGCATCGTGTCCATATTCAGGAAATTGAATGCGATCCCAGCCCTGAACATGGCCTCCGCCCATGCGATGTCCAATCTTTTCTGCGCCTCGTTGTCCACCCACCGCCGTACAGTGGTCTGTGGCTGGCGACCACTCGTGATGTCGACCCTTTGACCTTCATCACTAAGTCCACCCACCACTGCACCATCCCATCCCCTCGCCTGGTCGAGCGCAGCAGCAGCCAGGTTCACAGTGTCGGCGACTGACCGGCCAGCGACAACCGGCGGTTGGGGCTCATCTATCTGGGGGTCATCGCAGCCTTCTCCTCCGGCAGGACCATCCTCCCGAAGCACTTCTGATTCAGCACCGCTTCCTTCGTAATTCTTCAGCAAGTACTTCGTGTTCTTGTCATTTGCGTGGACCTTCGCGCCGACAGCGACACCAAAGTGTGAACTATCTCCCCGGTCCGCATTGCGCACGGCTTCATCACCTTCAGAAAATGTTCGACAGCCTTGCTGGCCGATCCCCTGAAGATTGTGCCGCACAACCTGCACCTGACCCAGTACTCCCCTCGCCCTTTGGAAGTAGCAACCTCCTGCCCCTGCTCACACCACTTCCAAACATTGTTCTTCAACCGCAGTTTGGCATGTTCCGCCTCACTCCGGCCCTCGAACAAGCTTGGGTCGGTTCCCGGTGTAGGCTCCTTCCCACTAGCACTGGCACTGCACACCGTCGACTTTGTCCTCTGCATACTCGGTCCAGGCGTGTCGCAAGACGGCTGTACAGGTCCTTTCATCTTCTCCGCTGCAGTTGCTGGCCGCCGACCGGCTCCTTCTGCACGGCCCCCCGTCATGGCCACCGGTGCCAAGGAGAAGAAGCAGAAGAAGAAGAAGAAGAAGAAGAAGAAGAAGAAGACGACGAAGAAGAAGAAGAAGAAGAAGAAGAAGAAGAAGAAGATGAAAAAAAAAAAAACGTTGTGCCCCGCAAGGCACCGCAAGGGAAGGAGGACCCCGAAAAAAAAAAAACTAACGCAAAATACAAGAAAAAAAAAAAAAAAAACTATTGTGGCTATGGCCGCCGCCGAAGACGAAGGCCGAGGTGGAAGTAGGGGAGAGGTAGAAGAATCAGACAAAGAGAAGTTATTTCTCTCTCTCTCTCTCTCTCTCTCTCTC